GGCTCTCAAACCAATATCTGTTTATCAGCCCAAGTTCTTCTACCTTGCCCAATTTCAGTCACTGTTCTTCAGTCATCAGTGATCTCATCAAGCACCTGACTACCCTTAGTTGTGCAGCCTTACAGGACAAAATGCATGCCTGTCACAAATTTCTGGCACTTGCCTTTACAGCTTCCAGAATAACAAACACACTTGTCAGCAAAACTGCATGTTATCACCTGCAGTGTTGGTACAGCCTCAAATGGAACTGCAGCTGCCACAGACTTCTCAATGGAAGAACATTGTCACTAAAGAAGCTTACACATCAGTGCTATTTTACCTAAAATAATCACTTCCTATGAGCACATTTGGGTTTAAGCACCTTTGATATCCACGTAGATAAAACTGATGAGATAAGCAGTTGGTTCTGTGAACACTGGAATTACCAGTGCCTGGGCTCCTGATAACTTTATGTCTCATGGCTCAGTTCTCACAGTTCTCTCCCTAGTTGGGGCATATGCCAACTCTGCTCCTCACATCCTCTTACAAAGTCTCTCTCTTCCAGCCAGCTGCCTCTTTTCATGCACTTTATAAGTACATAATCATCTTTAAGGCTTCTGTCCCTTCTGTCAAATTGGGTGGAAACCTGCCAATGGGTTCAAAAGTAGTTGACTCCTTGTGCCTCTGAAATTTGGCTGAAGAATTGCTATTTACATCTTCTCAGCTTCACTTTGCAACTCCTCTCAGCGTGTTGCATAACTGCCTAATGGTAAAGCTTCCCCATGCCCAGTGCTGGGGTTACTTTTAAGCCACACAGCTTTTTGCTTCTGCTTGCAGCTCACACCTCTGTGCCCAGCCTGGCAACCCGCCCAACAGTCTGACAACTCTGGTAAATCAGTTTCTAAACTGATATAACTTGGGAATTGAGACACAAGACAACAAAAATTATGAGGGAAGAGTGATTAAATATACTACAAGGGAGTAAAATATGATGGGAAACCACTAGAGTTCTCTGCAGTGAGCCAACATTATTAGGACCGGGGTTACTGTTTCCTCCTCAACAGAATGAAATCCACCAAAAATTCAACAACTTGCAACTGCAAGAATCTGAGTGGTTTTCCACAGCTGAAAAGGCTGTCATTTAAAATTGCCAATTTTTGTGAGCAGAACAAAAATCTGATTTGTGTTGTGACAGTGCTGGAGGCTGCAATGATTTTTCCCCACACTGGAAAAAACAAATAAACAAACAGTGAAGCTGCTTTAAAACTAGAAAAAGACCAAAATTTGAAAGGAATAAACTCTTACATCCACCTCAATGGGGCTGAATCAAAATTTTGTTGCTCCCTGCACATATCCTGTCCCCTTCCACCTTTAGCATTCTGTTAAACTGTTTATGGCAGCAGATCTCATGCACCAGAAGATACATGAAATGCTTTTAGTAGTCACCAGTCCTTGTCTTTGAAAATTATAGTATTCACTTCAAAAGCTGTCAAAGACATATGTTTACAGGAATGCAAATTCTTGCTGTTTGAAACACCAGAGAGAGAGAAAAACTTCATTTAATAGCACTTACTTGCAAGACACATAAGATGAAACAAGAACAACACTACAAGACAAGACCAATACCAGTGTATTACCACTGGCTGGTATTGGTTTGACACATTCTTTCTTCTTCAGTCACTCACTCAAGAAGTCCCCAAGACATCAAAGGAGTATTTGATGGTATCTCTTCTAGAAAATCTTCCAAACAATCCCTGAAGATTTTCAACCCAGACTATTTCTATTTTAAAAATCTCTATTGTCTCTTCCCCAGCCCTTACCATTCAGCTGTCCCTCATATGCCAAACCACTGCTCTTGCACGTCATACTCCTCTGTATCCTTTCAGGATGGGAGCACTAGAAGTGTAGATGCTATCCCAGATGGCTTTTATATAAGTACACAATTTTTTTCTTTAAGCTGTTCCAATAAAAACTTCCCTGTTCGCAGCAAAACCAAAACAACAGGTTCACAGCTCAGCCTCTCTGGGCTGCTACAACTAGAAGCTGACTTTAGAAATGGCTCCAATGGGAACTCTGAGTAAAGATCTTGGAGAATACAAATTCCCAGCCCATGACACGGGCCAGCATTTACAGTGAATCATCGCACAAACACTACAGAAGATTTTTGTTTCTCCATCTTCCTACAAGGATTTTGTTTAAAGACTACAATGTACTCTTTCCTGAGCTTTAAAAAGATAGAATGTATCCTTACAGCGATAATTTTCACACTTGCCTTTTTATCCCAGATTATTTGCCTTTGCCTTTCAGTTCTCTCCGCAGATGTTTGATTATTATTAACAGAAGTGCAAAATACCAAGTTCTGCTCCTTCCCAAAAAGCTTTCCGATTCCTTAAGTCACCAGGAAAAAACCCGCATAACCGAGTTAAAAGGAATGGTAACGTGAGCATCATCTTTAAACCCACACATCTTTTCCAAAAACAAATAAGAAAGGAACGTTTCAATGTCTGAATCACTACACTTCATATGTTTCTTCATGAACAAATCCTGCACAAACCTACCTACAAACATTTCACTCTACCCACACATCTAAAATTCTGATCCACTCTCAACCCATCATCATTTAACCCAGCCCCGACAAACTCCAACTTGTTTCTGCTTAAACCATGAGGTTTTGTTCCCAGCACTATTGTCCCTCTGCTTTCCTCTACCAAGAGGCATTAACCAAGAAAAAAGGACAAAGTGCTGCTACCAAGATCTTGGAAAGCAGCATAACTAAAAACACGTGACAGTGCCAATACCCTGACCCCGAAGCCCTCTGGGTCTCACACCCAAAAAAAATGCTGTCAGGAGGACATCATGCACACTCTATGACCAAAAAAGATCCCGCACTACCAAGTTTTGATATGAAAGTCGAGTGCATATTTTAGGTGTTTTTACTGTCAACATCCCACTGGCTCGGGATAATAACTTTTTATACAAGTCATTTGATATTTAAAAAAAATAACCAGCAAATACCTCTTACTTTGCAGCAATTTGTTAGGGGAAGAAAGGATTATTTATCATTTGACAAGGCTAATTTGTAGTCAGATTACAACATTGGGTCTCGCTATTTTGACACCAAAAATCACCCTTTCATTCTACAAAAAATAAGAGCAGTTACTAATAAAGTCAGTCAATGCATTTTCCATTGCCTTGAGGTGGAAGGGAATACTGCATCATCAGTCAGGCACAACACTATTCACACGATTAAGTTGTTGTTCTCAAAATAATCTTAGTAGCTTCAAAGCTAAAAAAGCTTAAGTGTTCGAGGGTTTTTTTGGGGGGGTGGGTTGCAAGCGAAAAATAAAGCACTAAGTAGAGATACGTAAAACACTTATTATGGGAAGGGAAAAATACATGTAGAGAGAACAAGCCGTGTCTCCTCTGAAAAGCAGATTTTAAAGTATTTGCATTGAAAATCAAAGTAAGGGGATAAACGTAAACTTACACCAGATGCTAAGCAGATGATTTGCATGCCATTTGCACGCACCTACCCACACGCCCCCGAAACTCCATCCGTACGAGCCCAGCAAAGCAGCTCTGCCTCCAAAACACTGCGAAGTGATTAAATTTCAAACAGCCCCACACTACCTGTACTGGCATTTCCTGCTCCGGACAGCCTTTGGAAAACACTCCTGCGAGACTCGCCGGTGGGCATGTGAGCGCCGCGTTAAACATTAAACCGCACGCCCGGCGCTCGCAGGGTCCCCTCGGCTTACACAACGCGCGGGGACGGCGCGGAGCCGCCGCTGACCCGCACCCACGCACCCCGGCAGGGATTTAACCCCGCACGAACCTCCGGCCGGGAGGAGGAGCGGCGGTCCCGTCCCGCGTCCCACCGCAGCACCGCCGGGACCGGCGCCGCCACCCTGCCCGACCCCCGACCCACCTCCCGCCCACCCTCGGCTCTCCCCCTGCCCGACCACTGGCTCTCCCCCGGCTCTCCTCCCGACCCACCCCCGGCTCACCCCCGGCGGCTCCTCACGCAGCTCCTCTCCCGCCCCCTCCCGGCGGCGACTCCGGGCGCGGCCCCGCCCTCGCGGCAACTTTTGCTTCACCCCCCCCCCCGCTTCCCGCTCCTCCTTCCCGCTCCCCCCCCCCCCCC